ATGGATATTGGCCTGAAGTTTCCTTTTCTTGCTGAGTCTCTGTTGGGTTTTGGTATCAGGATGATGTTGGTCTCACAAAATGATTTGGGAAGGATTCCCTCTTTTTGGATTGTTTGGAATAATGTCAGAAGGAATGGTACCAGCTCCTCTTTGTGTGTCTGGTAGAATTCGGCTGTGAACCATCTAGACCTGGGCTTTTTTTGAGTGGTTGGCTCTTAATTGGTGCCTCAACTTCAGACCTTGTTATTGGTCTCTTCAGGGTTTTGACTTCTTCTTGGTTTAGGCTTGGGAGGATGCAAGTGTCCAGGAATTTATCCATTTCTTCCAGGTTTACTAGTTTATGTGCATAGTTGTTTGTAATAATCTCTGATGATGGTTTGAATTTCTGTGGAATCTGTGGTGATTTCCCCTTTATTCTTTTTATTGCATCTATTTGATTCTTCTCTCTTTTCTTTTTTATTAATCTGGCTAGTGGTCTGTCTATTTTGTTGATCTTTTCAAAAAACCAGCTCCTGGATTTACTGATTTTGAAGGGTTTTTTGTGTCTCTATCTCCTTCAGTTCTGCTCTGATCTTAGTTATTTCTTGTCTTCTGCTAGGTTTTGAGGTTTTTTTAAATCTTGCTCCTGTAGCTCTTTCAATTTTGACAATATGGTGTTGATTTTAGATCTTTCCTTGCTTCTCATGTGGGCATTTATTGCTATATATTTTCCTCTAGGCACTGCTTTAAATGTGTCCCAGAGATTCTGGTATGCTGTGGCTTCATTCTCGTTGGTTTCGAAGAACATCTTTATTTCTGCCTTCATTTCATTGTTTATCCAGTCAACATTCAGGAGCCAGTTGTTCAGTTTCCATGAAGCTGTGCGGTTCTGAGTTAAGTTTCTGAATTTTGAGTTCTAACTTAATTGCACAGTGGTCTCTAAGAGACTGTTTGTTATGATTTCCGTTCTTTTGCATTTGCTGAGGAGTGAGTTACTTCCAGTTATGTGGTCCATGTTAGAGTAGGTGTGATGTAGTGCTGAGAATAATGTATATTCTATGTATTTGGGGTGGAGAGTTCTGTAAATGTCTATTAGGTTTGCTTGGTCCAGGTCTGAATTCAAGTCCTGGATATCCTTATTAATTTTCTGTCTCGTTGATCTCTCTAATACTGACAATGGGGTGTTGAAGTCTCCCACTATTATTGTGTGGGAGTCTAAGTCTCTTTGTAAGTCATTAAGTACTTGCCTTATGTTTCTGGGTGCTTCTGTATTGGGTGCATATATATTTAGGATCGTTAGCTCTTCTTGTTGCATTGATCCTTTTATCATTATGTAATATCCGACTTTGTCTCTTTTGATCTTTGTTGGTTTAGAGTCTATTTTATCAGAGATGAGAATTGCAACTCCTGCTTTTTTTTTTTTGCTCTCCATTTGCTTTGTAAATCTTCCTCCATCCCTTTATTTTGATCCTTTGTATATCCTTGCATGTGAGATGGGTTTCCTGGATACAGCACACTGATGGGTTTTGGCTTTTTATCCAATTTGCCAGTCTGTGTCTTTTGATTGGGACATTTAGCCCATTAACATTTAGGGCTAATATTGTTATGTGTGAATTTGATCCTGCCATTTTGATGCTAACTGGCTGTTTTGCCTGTTAGTTGATGCAGATTCTTCATTTTGTTGATGCTCTTTACCATTTGGTATATTTTTAGAGTGGCTCGTACTGGTTGTTCCTTTCTATGTTTAGTGCCTGTTTCAGGAGCTCTTGTAAAGCAGGCCTGGTGGTGATGAAATCTCTGAGTACTTGCTTATTTGCAAAGGATTTTATTTTTCCTTCATTTATGAAGCTTAGTTTGGCTGGATATGAAATTCTGGGTTGAAAGTTCTTTTCTTTAAGGATGTTGAATATTGGCCCCCACTCTCTTCTGGCTTGTAGGGTTTCTGCCAAGAGATCTGCTGTTAGTCTGATGGGCTTCCCTTTGTGGGTAACCTGACCTTTCTCTCTGACTGCCCTTAGCATTTTCTCCTTCATTTCAACCCTGGTGAATCTGACGATTATGTGCCTTGGGGTTGCTCTTCTTGAGTAATATTTTTGTGGTGTTCTCTGTATTTCCTGGACTTGAATATTGGCCTGCCTTACTATGTTGGGGAAGTTTTCCTGGATAATATCCTGAAGAGTATTATCCAGCTTGGATTCATTCTATCCGTCACATTCAGGTACACCTATCAAACGTAGATTAGATCTTTTCACAGCGTCCCATATTTCTTGGAGACTTTGTTTATTCCTTCTTACTTTTTTTTCTCTAATCTTGCCTTCTCGTTTTATTTCATTGAGTTGATCTTCGACCTCTTTTATTTTTTCTTCCGCCTGGTCAATTCGGCTGTTGAAACCTTTGTATGCTTCATGAAGTTCTTGTGTTGTGTTTTTCAGCTCCATCAATTCACTTATATTCCTCTCTAAGTTATTTATTCTCAGTAGCATTTTGTCAAATCTTTTTTCAAGGTTCTTAGTTTCTTTGCATTGAGTTAGAACATGTTCTTTTAGCTCACAGAAGTTTATTATTACCAACCTTCTGAAGCCTGATTCTTTAAATTCATCACAGTCATTCTCCATCCAGCCTTGTTCCCTTGCTCATGAGGAGTTGTGATCCCTTGTAGGAAGACAGGTGTTCTGGTTTTGGGTGTTTTCATTCTTTTTGTGCTGGTTTCTTACCATCTTTGTGGATTTATCCACCTGTCGTCTTTGTAGTTGTTGACTTTCAGATTGGGTCTCTGAGTGAACCTCGCATATGTTGATGATGAAGTTATTTCTTTCTGTTTCTTAGTTTTTTGTCTAAGAGTCTGACCCCTCTCCTGTAAGACTGCTGAGGTCCACTCCAGGCCCTGCTTGCCTGGGGATCACCTGCAGCAGCTGCAGAACAGTAAGGGTTGCTGCCAGTTTCTTCTTCTGCTATCTTTGTCCCAGAAGGATACCTGCAAGATGTCAGTCTGAGCTCTTTTTTATGAAGTGACTCTTTGGATATACAGGAGTCAGGGAGCTGCTTGAGGAGACAGTCTGCTGAGCTGTGAGCTTCATTGTTCATTCACAGCTGCTGGGCAGGTACGTTTAAGTCTGCTGCAGCAGAACTCATAAACGCCCCACTTTTTTTTTTTCTCCAGGTGCTCTGTCCCGGGGAGTTAGGGCTTTATTTATGAGTTTCTATTGTGCTGCTGCCTTTTTTAAAGGGTGCCCTGCCCAGCGAGGAGGCAGCCTAGCCACTGTCTGCCTGCAGAGGCTTAGCTGAGCTGCTGTGGGACTTCCCTTCAGTCCTGTTTATACAAGTGGAGTCAGAACTGCCTTGGCAATGGCGGCCCACCTCTATAATGGCGGATTCTCTCTGTAATGGCGGGCTTCCTCAGCATAGGCAAACTACCTCTGTAGTGGTGGACTGCCTCAATAATGGCAGATGCCCCACCCCCACAGAGCTGGATCATCCTGGGTTCAGCTGTGCTTGCTGTGAAACTCTCGATCCAGAGCATTTCCGATTGCTGGTTTTTTTTTTTTGTGGGGGTGGGACCAGCCCAGCCTGATATCCTGGCTCCCTACCTCAGAGGCTTTTTTTTTTTTTCCAGTTTAATGGTTGACTGTCTCCCTGGTGTTTCAGTTACCTGTTGAAAAGGCATCCGGATCTATGTGATTTCCCATGTAGCGACCCACTGCGTCGGCTGAAACAGCAGCGCTGAGATTTGTGGCACTTTTTTGCCCGGGAATCTCCTGCCCTGGCTCCCTGTTTCAATCCCCTTTTTAATCAGATGAATGGGCCACTCTGCCTTCCCAGAGCTCCAATCGCCCGCTAAAATGGCACCTGGAGCCATGTATTTTGTATGGAGAACCAATGCACCGGGGCGCTGGCAGCTGGCGCTGGCAAAAACAGCCACGCCAGCCAAACCAGCCGCATGGGCGACCCATGGGGCTCCTCCACCTGAGAATCTCCTGGTCTGTGGGCAATAAAAATCTGTCTGGGGCCGGGCACAGTGGCTCAAGCCTGTAATCCCAGCACTTTGGGAGGCTGAGGCAGGTGGATCACGAGGTCAACAGATCAAGACCATCCTGGTCAACATGGTGGAACCCCGTCTCTACTAAAAATATTTTAAAAAATTAGCGGGGCGTGGCGGCGTGTGCCTGTAATCCCAGCTACTCAGGAGGCTGAGGCAGGAGAATTGCCTGAACGCAGGAGGCGGAGGTTGCGGTGAGCCGAGATCGTGCCATTACACTCCAACCTGGGTAACAAGAGCGAAACTCCGTCTCAGAAAAAAAATATCCTTCTGGAAATGCAGCATCCACTCACCCTCCACACTTTCACTGGGAGCTGCAATCCTGAGCTGCTCCTAATCAGCCATCTTGGATCCCTCCCAAAATATGGTTATATTTCAGAACTCATGTTATTTAGATAAAGATTGTTCAGATATTTTAACTTCTTTTGCTGATTATTGAATAAATGTATCGTTAAGTTATTTTGCATATTTATCATAGAGTCATCAAGAATTTTAACGTTATGCCCTCTGTAATAGTTATCAAGGGTACCCAAAATCTTTAACCCAGAATTACATAAATGGAAAAAGTCTAGTTTGAGATATAAAGTACTGAATGTTTTATTTGTTGTTCTTAGTATCCATTTTAGTCAGTTCTCATTTGGCACCCCTCTGTCAGAATCTAAGTCATCCTTGGAATTTAGTTAACTAATTGGAAAATAGAACCAACAGGTTCCATTATAGGTATGATATGATATAATCATAATTCATCTCACCTATATAGTTCACAAGATGGTAGCATCTTCACAATTTAATAAAGGCTTTTGAAGGATTGGTATAATGTGAACTACAGAACTTTAATTTACTCAAATCTGCAGAAATTGCATTGGTTTCTGCTTGTGATTATGAATCAATAGAGTATATTAATGGATCTTAGGGAGAAAATTAGAGCTCACTTTAAATATAAACTTATAATAGTAATAATTGCCTGTTCTTTATTTTTCCACAGTTCTTAGTGGTCTGTGTTCTAATGACTGTCCTCGTAAGATAACAGTAAGTAAACTTAACTCTGTTATAAATGTGTCTGAAAATTCTCTGCATAAGTAGACACACACAAAATAGTTGTTATATATTATAATCAAAATATTATTACTGTTTGGCACTGATTAAAGAATCCTTCATTACTCAAGAAAACTCCTGAAAGTAAAGTACCTTTCCTAAAAAATGTCTTACCTGAACAGTCACCTTTATGAAGCCTTTTCTGATATCTTTAGAAGAAAGGCTACCCCTTCAATTATTTTAAGACATTTTGGCATTTATAATATTTCATTATACTTTTTTAGATTAGATGCCTCTCCCCATGAGTCTGTAACCCCTGAGGTCAAGAATCATGTCATCTTGTGTACCTGGTATAGGTCACAGAAACAAGCATATAGTAGGCAATTAATGACTTTTTTGTGTGTCGTCTTAATATTGATTTGTTGTCTAATAGAATCTTTCAGTGAAATACCAAATGTGAAAATAATTAGGCTTAGTTTTTGATAGAACCAATTCATGTAAACTATAATAAGAATATTGTATTATATTTGAACGCATGCATGTGTTTGTGTGTGTATATAGGGAACTGTTTTGGGGTCTTTGTAGTATTCCTTGTTTCATGAGAAATTAGCCCCTATTTAATGATAAGGAAATTGTGACTCAGAGAAGTTAAATTATCAAAAGTCATGGAGCTATTAAGTAGTGGAACTGCAATACAAACTAGGTGTTCTGATTATAATCTCATATTCTTACAGTGTCATTAAACATTACATTGACAATATTTTATGTATAGTTGGGAAACTTCCCGTATTTAAGAAGTGTGGAAACACACCCTGACATAGGGATATAATATAGACCGAAATTGGGGGCAACACCTCTGAACCAATGAAGAAAGCAGCAGCGGCAGAAGGAGAAGATGCATGGTGAGCTCTGGAGCTAGGATGATCCTTCAGATGTGGCCTGAATTGAGCCAGAGGGGCCAGGCCTTTGAACTCTTGCATCAGTCACACATCACATCCAGACAGGCCACCAGAAAGGTGTTAACATTTACATGAAGCAGCTGCCTTTGGCTAAGAACAATCTCCAGCCAACACAGACCAGCTCAGGGAATAAGTGTCTAGGTCCTGAAGAGAAGATCTGAATGAGTCATCACCACTGTCACAGCAGCATGCATGTGAATGTTTTGGTCCAACCCATATACTTTTATGCCACTGTAAAACTGTGGATGGGATTCATCAGCCTAAAGATTGACCTGAATATTCAGGTATTGTCTATCCACTTTGTGAAACATTCAGACCTATGTTCCTCCCTCTAACCATATCTGCATTCTGTGTCTTTCATTACATGGTCATGCAAAGAACTTTAAAAAGTTGTAGTTGAAACCACTCATTTTACTTAGAAGTTCTTGATGAAAGTTTGATAGTAAGGGCTGTATAGCCAAAGCAGGTGACACTTCTAAGATCCATAAGGTTTCCTGTCACCTTATCTTAAAACATTAAACCACTTCTATCTTAGAGGGAACAGAATCATTTGGAAAGTCACGTAAGTAAAGTCCAACATCCAGAGCTGCCTTACAATGATTACCCTTACCACCCAGCACCTTTGCGCTTTTGTGCAGATAGTACTTCTGCCTCCCATTCATTCTTTTATGACTTTCTTTGAAATTAAGATCTTGTTGAGCTACCCTTCATATATATCATTTTCCTTCTCTGTGATATTTTACTGATATCATAGATCACAATTTTACTAGCATGTAAACAGATGCACAGTGTACTCATTCAGTATTACAGAGGTCAAATGTATGCCCACTTGTGAAATTATTTACTTCTTGAAAAAGTGGTTCTTCTTCATATTCCTTTGACATCAAATCAAAGTAGAAAGTGTTATATTGAATGAGCCCCAAAGTGAGACTGAGAGAGAAAATGTACATCTCATATAGTATTCTTTACCACTTGAGTTAATTCATTGAATAGCTCTTTTGCTGGTTATGTGTTCTCTCTGATGCAGGCAGACTAACAGGTGTATAGAAAGAGGAAACAGTTACTCAGCTCATGAACTGATCCCACCCATATTCCTTCATCTCCATTTTGAAAACTTCACAATGTTTCATTCATATTCAGTTTTAGCTATTCACTCACTCCCATGGCCATAACCTGGACCTTATCTACCAGAATGGTTTCACTTCTGAAACCCCAATTTAATTTATCCAACTCTGACCACAGCCTATTTTCCAGCCCTCCCACTCTGTTACTCTAATTATACCTGTTCGACTTTAAAACCATTAGTCTCTTGACCTGTGTCAGCTCACCATTGTCTTTGCCCACCTCCTTAGTTAGTTACCATACACCAACATTACTTCTGCTAGTCCCTTAACTCCTATAAAGCACTGAGTTTCTGCTGTACCTGTCTGGGAAAATTTCAACCCTGGGTTAGTCCAGCTATCTCTTATTTCCTCCTATGCCTAGAATACTGGGCATTTCTGAAGAAGAACCTATAACTCCGTGTATTGGCACTAGCCCTGTGTATTAGTCTATTCTCATGCTGCTATGAAGAAATACCCAAGACTGGGTAATTTATAAAGAAAAAAGGTTTAATTACTCATAGTTCTTCATGGCTGGGGAGGATTCAGGGAACTTTTACAATTATGGCGGAAGGCACCTCTTCACAGAGCGGCAGGAGAGAGAATGAGTACCAGCAGGAGAAATGCCAGGTGCTTATAAAACCATCAGATCTCCTGAGAACTCACTCACTATCAGGAAAACACCATGGGGGAAACCACTCTCATATTTCGGTTACCCTCCACCGGCTCCCTCCTGTGACATGGGGATTATGGGAATTACATTTCAAGATGAGATTTGGGTGGGGACACAGCCAAACCATATCACCCTAATTCATGGCAACCTTAAATGAGCATTTTTTTATTGTATCACAGTCTTATATGGAATCCCAGCCCTCTTTTCTTCCATTTCTTTTTTCTGACTTCTTTCAAGATTTTCTCTTTGTTTTTGATTTTTTGCAGTTAGAATACAATATTCTTGGGTACAGTTTTTTTTTTTAGTATTTATCCTGCTTGGTGTTCTCTGAGCTTCCTGGTTCTGTGGCTTGAGGTCTGTAATGAATTTTGAAAATTGCTCAATCATCATTACTTCAAATATTCTATTTCCTTTCTCTCTTTCTTATTCTTGTATTCCTACTAAATATATTTACAACTTTGGCATCTTCAAGCTTAACCGATTCTTTCTTAGGTCATGTCTAGTCTACCAATGAGTCCATCAAGGCATTCTTCATTATTACAGTATTTTTTATTTCTCTTTCCTTTTGATTGTTCGTTTCCATCTCTCTGCTTACATTAACCATTTGTTCTTGCATGTCGTCTACTTTTTTCCATTAGCACCCTTAGCACGTTAATCATAGTCATTTTAAGTCCCTGCTCTGATAATTCCAAAATGTCTGCTATATATCTTGTTTTAATACTTGCTTTGTCTCGGTTTTTTTGTTTTGTTTTGTTTTGTCTTTTGCCTTTCAGCATGCCCTGTCATTTTTTATTGAAAGCTGGATACAGTGTGTTAAGTGAAGATAACTGAGGTAGACAGACTTTTACTGTGGAATTTTTGAGGTTTATCTGACTAGGAATTCAACTGTGTTTACTGTTTGCAGTAGTAGTTGTGTCAGAGGCAAAAAATTTCCTCTAGTTTGCTTGTTTTTGTCTCCTCTGGGGTGCTGGTTTCCCAATAGACTCCTTCTTAAATGAAAGATGATGCTTGTAATGCTTTGGGCTGTGGTTCCCTTGACAGGAGCCCAGTCGATGAAGTTCTGGGATAGGAAAAGTGTTCTGTCATCCTGTCATTAGGGCTTACTCTTTTAGTGAGCTTGTGTCCCTGGGCTATGACCTTCAGAAGTGCTTCTCAGCTTCTCTATCTTCTTAGGTGAGACAGGAAGATGAGAAGGAGCTGGAGTTGAATATTTCCCTTTTCCCAGGTCAGTTAGGTTTTTGTTAAACCCAAGTCAATGAAGCTCTAGTAAAAGTTTTCTTTGAAGGCAGGTTGTTAGGGAGAACAGAGAGCTGTGGGCATATTTCAGAACAGTTACTTTCTCATGCTGCTGCTTGAAACATGAAGTTATTTTTCTCCAATCTTGACAGTGAGAATCTAGTGGAATTCCTGGAAGTAAAACTCACTGGAAGTAAAAATTTCTGGAAGTAAAAAAGTGTAAGTGTGAGGATTCCCCCTGTCCCAAACCCTTGGAGTTTTGAACACTCAATCTAGTCTACACTAAGCCTCCAATAGTTTTTCAGTTACGTCTTCCTACCTGTATTGGCTCCATCTTTGACCTTCTGCTCTTGGGCTTCTGCTCCTTTTAAGCTGTGTCTCTCTTTCCACCTGTCTGTCTCTCCAGTTTGCAGAGTAGCAGTTTGTCCTGTGACCTTGGTTCTCTGAAAGATCTAAGAAAAGTTGTTGATTTTCTGTTTCTTTGCTTTTTTCTTACTATAAGAACTAGAGTGACAAAATTAAAGAAGTTTACATGTCGGACTAGAAACTGGAAACTCTTCTTTCATTTTTATTAGTTTTGCTTTAAGGTTTTTTTGTCCATTTTACTTCATGGCTTTTATCAGTATATCATACTGTGTGTCATTTATTGCTCTTTATCTTGTAATTTTTTAACTTTTTAAAAATTTGTAAACATCTATAAAAGTATGAATTAGTATAATAAAACTCCTTGGCTAGGCATGGTGGCTTATGCCTGTAATTCCAGCACTTTGGGAGGCTGAAGCAGGAGAATCACTTGAGCCCAGGAGTTTGAGACCAGCCTGGGCAACATGGTGAAACCCCATCTCTACAAAAAATACAAAAATTGCCTGGGTGTGGTGGCATGCACCTGCACCCCAGCTACTCGGAAGGCTGAGGTGGGGGAATCACCTGAGCCTGGGGAGGAGGTTGAAGCTGCAATGAGCCATGATAATGTCAACGCATTCCAGCCTAGGCAACAGAATGAAACTCTCCAAAAAAAAACAAGAA